AAAGTAGTTACTTTTTTTCGGTAGTTACTTTTAAAAGTAACTACTTTTTGTACAGTGCATAATTCAGTTTATGAACAATATCAAAAAATGACGTTGCGAGCAAAGTTATAGCTGAAGTCAAAATCTACAACTTAGCAAATAAAATATTTGATCAAATGTATTAAACTATTGTGAAAACCATTGAACACCAAAAAGGACGTCAAAAGTAACTAAAAGTAAATGTGCCACCCCTAAATCAAATAACAAATAAATTGTTTCATATTAATATAAATAGCTCCATCTTATTGAAGAGCAGCAAGAATGGAAGAAAACTTATCATCATCTTAAATCATATCAGCTATCGTTTTAAACACAGATCTAGTCAACGTGATTGAATTCGAATTAATACGCTATTTAAATAGTTCACCAACTTAACATAAATATAGATCATGGAGGTCTTTCCATACAACACCAGTTTCTCAATTTTCTTTTTATTACAATAGCAAGATGAAAATTTGAACCTCGATTTCTGAATGATCATTTTGATCATCACTCAATGATCGTTTATACGAAAGATATTATATGGTAACCATGTTCCACACAAAGTAACATACGTCAAACTCCGTTCATAAATCCTATACTTTATTGCAATACTTCCATCATGAAGTGTTTGCATATATTTCATTATCACACCGCGAAAATATATCAAGTCTTAGAAGTAGTTTTCCAAATTTTCTTTATTCAAATGCTCTTGAAAACTATGTTGTTATGGCAAGTTGATGTTTTCATCAACTCGCACATTTTCGTCATGACAACATGTAGTTGGTCAGAGTTGATCATTTACTTCTTTGTAAGTTGTATTGAGCACGACATCTGTTTTTGTCTTTAAACATTTCATTTTAGTGTCCTGTCGTTCTTATAAAGTATCTATAAGGAAAAAAAGAAATGCCGCGTTCTATTTAATGACGAGGAAAGTTGGGTGTGGGTGTGGGTGTGGGCGTGGGTGTGGGTGTGGGTGTGGGTGTGGGTGTGGGTGTGGGTATGGGTGGGTGTGGGTGTGAGTGTGGGTGTGTGTGCGGGTGTGGGTGTGGGTGAGTGTGGGAGGCAATCTTCACTTCATCCGCACCCGCACCCACACCCACACCCCACACCCCACACGTCACACCCACACCCACACCCACACACCCACACCCACACCCACATACTATTTACAGCATTTTGAGCAGCAATAATTTCGTCCATGGAACAAGTTAAAAAACATGCAACATCACCAATAATACAGTGAAGCTGTCCAGCAAGGAGAACACCAGGTTTAACATATTCAGAATATGTTCTACAATAGATCAAACAAAATCATTCGTATCGTATTGATCTAATTATTGTACCTGAATGGAATTGTCATTGGTGCACTTTGGATGATAGCTCGCTGGAAGAATGGTTGCATTTCACTCGTCACATAGTGTAGAGCAGTAGACTGAGCACCAGCACTTTGACCAAATAATGTAATCTGAAGAAAGAATAGTATAGTAATGATACATTGAATATTTACTTGTTCAAACATCGTTTAGATCTCCTCCAAATGCATCAATATTATCTTTGATCCATGCAATAGCTAGACGTTGATCGAGTATTTCATAGTTACCCTTAAGATCATTAGGACCATTTCCAGTTGTCAAGAAGCCAAGTACACCTATGATTATCATGTTCATGTATAGATACTTGAAGATAATCGATACTTACCTAATCGATATTGGACTAATACAATTATTATATTGGTTGTATTAACTAAATGTTCAGATTCATAGATTGATTGTGAAGCATCACCAAACTGAAAATCACCACCATGAATATGGATCATCACTGGTAGAAGATTTGGAGATAATGAATTGCTGGACAATGGCGTAAATATGTTCAAATAAAGGCAGTCTTCTGACATCTATCGTGCATGTATCAAGTTGTTAGAGGAAAATTTTTCGTTTACATCAAGAGCTTACAGTATTTGGAGTGTGAATGGATGTTATTGGACTTGCTGGTTGAGAACAAGCAGGAAGTGGTTGTGTGGCATTGATCACTTTTGGATGCCATTTAGCAACAGGTACTGGTGGTTGCCATCTATACAAAAATAGAGTTATACTATACGAAAACAAGCTTCACGATTTTGCCTAGGATTACTTGAATGTTCCAATAGGTGGTTGTGCAAATGGAATACCATAGAAGACACGAGCCAAATCAGTTTGATAACCTTATACATGACCATATTGTGTATGAACAATAATGGGTATGTTGGCATAGAGTTGTTGTGTAGACAAAGCCAGAATAAAAACTAAACTTACGAACATCATCATCATGCCCTGGATTGTACAATGCCTGTGTTCGTCTACTAACCTAACGAATATCTCTTTCGTCAGCCACTGATATGGATGACACCCATTATCACATACAAAATATCTTGTCAATATTTGGAGAGAACAACAATGCTTCAAATATTAGTAGTGTTTTGAAGAAGCTCAAAGTTTTGCATGCACTTTTTTACTTATCAAACAGTGTGTTTTCAACCGAATTAATATTAAATTGTGTACGTGATAGAAAATAAGTTGGTGACAGTTGAGAAATAGAAATTAACGGTCCTATACGTAAATGTTTAAGGCATAGATTAGAATTGTTTCTCGTTGAGAAGCGAACTCTATGATTAAAATTGATGTTACGAAGTTTTGAGAAACTAACTTACTCCTTGATCAAAAGAAAATATATAAAGTAACTAACGATAACGATGTCGCTAAAAATCAATAGTCTCTCACTAACAAGATTACCAAGAAATTTATATTTTTTGACAGTAATTTTTTTTTCAATTGATCATACAACCTTTCTCTTATTTTCTAATTTCTATATTTAACTGCCAATTATCGATTAATTATTAGCCTTATTCTATATGTAATAATAATACATGATTGGTTATTTGAGCAAACCAAACAAGGTGATTCAACATTACCTCATAGATACTACGTCACTTCTCATTATAGTCTGATCCTTACAACATATATTAATGAAGTTGCGCAAACAATTTGCATATATTCATATAATACATTCTGTGATTGGTTTGCACAATACACTAGATGAATCTGATCATGTAGTGAAATTTCTCACATATCTGCCATTTATATTACAAAAATTTTTATTCGCTATTTAAAGGCTTCAACATGACAGAAATTGACCTATCTCAAACAATCGAACGTTCATTAATAGTATGTTCATTTAATTTAAAAAAGAAAGTAAATTATCTATTTTATATTAAAATGTTCTTTAAGACTGGACTGCTTGCGGGATGTGCAGTTGATTTGTTATTATACCCGATCGATACAATAAAAACTCGACTTCAACAAAAAACCAATTTTCAAGGGCGATTTTTATTTTCATCTTTATATTCCGGTGTTGGTTCTGTAATGATCGGTAGTGGTCCATCGTCAGCATTATTTTTGCTTTCGTATAATTTAACAAAACAAACTCTAAATTTATCATATTCCAGTCAAGTTCCTATGATAGCTGCTGCTTTTGGAGAAACTGTATAGAAAGAAAAACACAAAATAATTGAAGGAAATATTTTCGAAATATTGTCTATTTAGTGTGCATGTCTTGTACGTGTTCCCACTGAAGTTATTAAACAACGAGCACAAGTTAATCGAAATTTACGTTTGTCAACAATTGCTCGATCATGTCTTCGCAATGAAGTAGGAATTGTTTTCTTTTTCAAATCAATTATAATTAAATGATTTGTTTTTTTTTCGAAGGGTTTATCAGGTCTTTATAGAGGATATTTTGCAACTTTAGCAAGGGAAATTCCATTTTCAATGATTCAATATCCACTCTGGGAATTTTTTAAAGTTTGTTTTAAAATTTGTTCTTCTGTTAGTTTTTATTGCAAAAAACTAAAACTAGGAATATCAAAGCAAAAAACAAGGTTATCCAGTATCTCCATGGCAAGGAGCTTTATGTGGATCTTTAGCCGGTGGATTAGCTGCATCAATTACAACTCCATTAGGTAGATTGATTGAAATACGCCTTTTTTTATAAAGAAAATGAACTTTGATTTTTTTTTAGATGTTGCTAAAACTCGAATAATACTTGCACATGTAATAATTCAACAGAATAATTGAATATTTTTATTTTATCTTTATTTTCTTAGCATTCTCATCCTGATGCCAGTTCTCATTTCTTACGAATAATTATAAACATTCTCAAAACTGAAGGTTTTCCAGCGTAAGTTGTCTTCAAATAAACTAATGAAATACAAAAGAAAATACCTTTTTCTTATATTAAGTTTATATAGTGGTGTTGTTCCTCGTACTACGTGGATATCGATTGGTGGTTTTGTTTATTTCGGTGCTTTTGAATTTGTGACATCATCGTTTTTTTGTAGCGAAAATATTATTTGTTAGCACTGTTTTCTTTTCTAGTCTCAGCTTCTATTTTGGCGTGGGTGAGTGCGAATGTAGTAGTAAAAACTCACATCCACACCCTAGTCAAATATTTTAAATATACTCAAATATTAAGTGAATAAAGCTATTAACTTTGATTCAATTTTGACTCAATAGAAGGATTCTTCTGATTTAGATCAGTTGCTTCTTCCTTAGGCCCATCACTACGTAATATTACATAGTATTACACGACTCAAACATACGATTGTTGCAAGCAATATTACACGGAGATAGAGGTAGTTCTTTGCAACATCCAAATGAATTCGATTGGTAATATTAAATACTATTGATTCAAAGTTCATGTTATACATTTTTCTTCAATGTATCGTAACTCTTGAAAATAATAGGACCCTCTCACAATTGATTACAATTAATTAGAAGATCTTTTAAACAAGAAATAGTGATTTTAAAAACCTATGATTATATTTAAATAAAATTTTTCGCCAGATTCTATTGATGAATTGATAAAGCTACTTATCTATTTTTATCATTTCTATTCTTCTTCATGCATCTAACCTGCTAAGGCGTATGACTCTCTCTGTGTAAAATGTCATTGCATGAGTCATACGAAACAGTATGTCTTAGGTTAGCAAAAAACTGAATTACGGTAAGGAAAAAGAAAAAACACGTTTACAATCGTTTTACCTACAAAAACATTTTATGTCCAAAACTAGAGAAATGCACGTGTAAATACTTTTATAACAAAAATCTGTTATGGAATCAGCCTTTTATTGTAATTGATTGCATATCAGATTGAAAAACTTCCTATTGAAAGCTGGATCTATAGAGAAAATGTGAATCCCTTGAAACATTTACTGTTCTACATATAGAAAACTAATGTTCTCTCTCTTCCTGCATGACATGAAATGCATTCTTTGACCTTCAATCAGTTAATAACATTCTGTTTTGTTTTTTTCTATTCATGTTGCAGAACACTTTACCATGTGATTCGAACGAGCAAAAAGTAGTATTTTATGCATAATTCACTGGAAATTCATTCATTCATTCGTCTTGATTGATTACATGAGCCATTCGATCATGTACAAATCATCTTTCAAACATCTCTCGGTGGAGCTACTGTATGAAATCTTCGACTACTTCCAAGATCATGATATTACTGTGCCTTTTTGCAATTTGAATCAACGTTTAAATGATATACTACATTCATATCCATACTATAGACTTGACTTTCGAAAAATTCTTAGAACTCATTTCACTCACGCTATCGGATAATTAGGGTGTGGGTGTAGGTGTGGGGTGTGGGGCGTGGGTATGAATGTAGGGTGTGTGGGGGCAGGTGTGAGTGTGGGTGTATGCGTAGATCATTGCTTAATTACATTCTCAGCCGCCCATTCACACCCACACCCACACGCCCACACACGTCCACACTCACCCATACCCCACACCCCACCCACACCCACACCCACACCCGCACACCACACCGACACCCACACCCACGCACCCACACCCACACCCACACCCACACCCACACCCACACCCACACCCACCCACACC